ACTTTGGCTTTAGAAAGCAAACAAAGCTCTTGTTTTCCGTCCCTGATTCATTCTGGGTGTCCAGGACGCTAAAACATCTCATTTCAAATGAAAAAATCCAAAAAATTCCAAGTCAAAAAAAGTCGGTATTTTCGGTATCGGTATATACCGGAGTTCGGTATTGTCGGTATCGGTATTTCGGTATGAATACCGATATCGGTGCATACCTAGTGCGTATGCATGCAGAGAAAAATTGAATGCGTTAAAACAAGCTGTTTGTTTTTCTTTATAGTTTATATCAGATATCTATTACAGTCATCATCTAAACAATAGAGCAAAACTCTGATTCTTAAAAAGCGTTTTCAAATGAATGCATGTTTTCTTTCAGTACTTTTTAATCCTTCTGATATAGTCAAAAGGAACCTTTTAACAGTTAGCTAGCCAAGTTCAATCAGCTTGTTGTCATGCAACGTTGTTTTTATCACACGTTCTCATCTGTTCATGTGTGTTCCAAATTGTTAAAACTTTTATACTTAAAAACTTTATTCTTTAATTGAGATTTTATCTATTTTTATATCTAATTTGTTAGAGAATCTATAGCATTATTGATGAATCTAGTATAATTTTTTACCGATTCTATAGAACCGTAAGTTATTCGACAAAATCTGTGTTGATTCTATAAATTCTTCAGTTTTGCGTATTTTTTACATGTACAAATACATCAATAAATATCGAACACAGCCGAAGAGACGTTTTGCAAATATTCCAACAGTTAGGTCGGATCTATCATGAAATTCTATCTTCTCGTAAATTTTGTTTATTAATCATTCATATTTTGGAGACAGATTTTTTATTTTGACTAATAAACTGTTATTCTTCTTGTATGGATGGATGATCGTGAATGATAATGTTGTTAACATCATTTCTAGATCATACTAAACGTCTATAAGTCAGTTCTGACATTCCAATATGAGCTTTGTAGATGATGGTGAAGAATTAATATTCGATATGGGTAAGTTGTTTATTTTATTTAAGCTAAAGAGTGTGCTAAATATTTATTTTAATATTTAAGATCCATTAGAAACAGATGAATCAGCGACATCAAGTTATTATTCAATATCAAATACATCTGTTTCATCTTCATTATCATTAGAAAGTTTAAGTGGTGGGCGTAGTACCGGCAGCGATGAGAAAAAAGTACACGCTAGAATATGTGATATAGCAGATATTTTAAATTTGGAATCTTTTGGACAAGACGATAGACTAGGTAGTGATGAACAACAAGATGAAAATTTTTGGTTTTTGTTTGACAAACAAATATCATACAACAACAGTGTTGGTGATGGCTCAACGGTACAATGTTTACGAACAACGATACAAGACGAACATCCACTGGAATTTGAAAATTTAAAAGCTGATTTATATGATTTAGTGAAAGGTAAAGAAGGAATATGTTCACTTGAAAGTTATTGAGTTTACCTGTCTTTGTGTAGAATAAATCTAGTATAACTAAATAATGATGATCATCCTATGTTCTGTCTTTGCTATTCGAGAAATTTTTTGCATAAAACAGCGATTAGATGATGAATTTTTGTTTAGGTTCAAAGCAATTATCTCCGAATGATTATAAGCGTTCACTTTATAATCGTCCAATTGCATTTGAAAAAGATTCACGACTTTGGGCTCGTAATTTACTTGACACATTTAAAACAGGTAATAGTGCTGCTGCCGATAATAACAACGATATCAATAGACAGATGGATAAAACATCGTCTGATTATGATAGTTCAATTTGTGACGACAGTTTATTTGAAACAAATGTTGAATATATCCAAAAATTAAATTCTGATAATAACTATTCTACCCATTTAAACTATTTACAATCAAATCGTTCTAAATTATGGTATACTTTAACAGATTCTCTTGATGTTATCGATGGGTTTTTGGGTAAAATTATCTCATTTTAAAAATCAACCGATCCAGTCAGATATTATGCTCCGTTGTTTTTATAAATCGAGTATATACTATTGCTTACTTTTTCTTATTAACGCTGTTTGTTCTTTTATACAATAGAGTAAGTTGTGTTTGTTTATTTTTTCAGACGGCACAACGCATAACAGAACTTTTTTGTTTATTTAGAAATTCTATTTTTGTGGTTGTTAATTATTATTGCTCATATACAATGAATCGTTCTTTGTCTATTTTTATGCGAATATTTTTTTTTGTTCATTGCTAGATAACTAACTTTTTCTAATTGTGGTCGTTTTTCTTACATATACTGAAAAATTTCTCGTGCTAAAACATGTCAGTATTGTTAAAAATAAATAAATACACGGTTTGTTATGTGATAGAATAATTTGTTTCTTGTTGTTATAGTACAAAACATTCATTTGTGTTTTATATATCATTTCATCTCAAATTACTCTTACTTATTTATTTTTGGGTGATATAAACGCAAGACCGACTTGTTTCGGTGATTATGGCACATCTAACGTACTTTCACTGTTATTTTGATTTAGTCTGTAATCTGAGTTAAGAAAGTCATAGTGTTTTGGTTAAATAATTTGTGAACCACTTAATTGGTGTGCGCTTGTCATTGTCACTGTTTAAGTTTATTTTCATAGCGTATCCAACTAAATAAAAAATCTAAAAAACACATTGTCATAAAATGAACGACTTATTTTTTGTTGTGTAGTAATGAACGTATAAAAACTCACTACAGTCTAACTTAATAATGTAACCAACTACTACAATATACAAAACCTACATAACGGAAACAAAGGTATGCCTACATTGTTCCAATATAATCCTCTTGTTGTTGAATATACGACGGATTAACTGTTAAACGTCTCGCATTTAGTTCTCGTTCATCTGTTGGATCAAGGGCTGCGAAATAATCAAAACCCGTATAATAATGCATTACACGTGGTTCACGATGTATTGGTGGTGCACCACTGCTTCCACGTGTTAAAAATTGTTGTTCAACAATGCCATTATATCGATTTTGGAATGGTGTATTTTGTATCGTTATTCCTGGTGAATACATAATACCACGTGAAACGTAATCAGGTTCTGATAGATAACCGTTTGATGTATTCGATCGTTTTGTATTATGCCAATAGGATGGTCGATATGATGGTGATTGACGAGCAGATAATCTAGGTTCAAATGTTTGTGTTTGTAATTGTAATTGTTGTGGTTGTCTAGGGTGTATTTGGTTAATTTGTGTCGTCGATTGAGATGGTAATAAACGATGGGTATTTTGTTGATAAGAATAATCCTGAGGAATTTGTGACTGATATTGTTGAATATGAGTTGCACTTGTACTATTTGAGGTATACGGTGTTAATAATGGTTGATGATTTGTAATATAGGTTGAACGATTAATATCGTTTGTTGTTGCTGCTACTGTTGATGAATATGGTGTTAAAATAGGAAGATGTTGTTGAATTGGACGTACAATATATGATTTTGTTCTTTTATCGTTAAATCCTCTTGTTTTCTTTTTGGATTGTGTCACAATTTGATAGGAAAAAGGACCTATAGGCGATTGAAAATTATCTATGTGTTCAAGTGTATTTAATACCGTATCATTGTCATTTCTAAAAGAAAGGCATAACAGTGGTGAGATGCTGTCTATCTATGCAAGGAAAAAAATGAAGACTATGTGACATACCTGACAGGTTTTTTTACTAGACAATCATAGATGGATAATAATATGAAACCAATTAGTGCTAGAATAACGGCGACAATATTCAAATAAAAACACCAGTCAAGCTTTGGATCAGCATTTTGGTAAAATCGAACATTATATACAGAAAAACCAAATACAAACAAACTTGAGAGACCAATACAAACTACAATGAACAATAGGTGCTAGAATTTTTTGATGAATAGAATCAAAGGGGCACAAACCTGCAGGTAATGCAATGAACGATGCTAATAAGGCCAGATAGAATCGAGCATTACGTTTGAATCTATAGCAAATAGTTGTGGCAATAGCTAAAAAATGAACATAATACATTCGAGATCAACTATTTGAGTAATAGACTTACTAGCAGCAAGAGTTGCTGTTGTCAATATTAAAAAAACAATTTGTAGCGCTTGCCAGACATTGATTGGAACTAAATTAGAAATATGAATGATCAACGTAAGTTTCCAATATAAAAGTTTAAAAATACCTTTTGTTTGGTTAAGTCTATCTGCGAATTTTCCATCATCAAACCAACTGCCACACTGCGTACTATTATCAATAAACAAACATATTCTCCATAGTCCATAGTTGCCCTGCTTATCATGAAACCACGCATTGGAAACAGCAAATGTGATTACAATCGCTATGACACTTAACAATAAGGCCAATAGTGCCAAAATAAGAAATAGCAATCGATAAATTCTCTAAATTAATAATAAACAAAGGATATGATTATATTGAAGACAAGTGAATTGCTGTTTTTGCACTCGTTAACCCATTAGAGTTACATTTTTAAGAAACGTATGGCACTAGACCGTTAATTTCGATCCAACTAGAAATGGCTTTTCTTAATCATACAAGATTTGTCGTTTTCTTATGAACTTCTTTGATAATATATTATTGGATCATGTAACTTCTTGTTATAAGTCTGTCACACAGCGTGCGTCCAGGCGAGCTTTTGTGAAAAAAATGAAAGTTGACTTTTCCGTAATTCAAATAATGCTTAATATACTTTGAAAAATGCTCTATTCGATGGTAAAAAATTTTTGTCCTAGGACTTATTAAAGCTGGGAAAAACTTATAGACAAAAATTACACTAAAAACGAGGGTGCAGTCGGAAAAATTAAAATTACGCAGAATCTAATAACGCAGGAGTTATTGCTCAAATGAACACATATCTAAAATCCGCATGAAATAGGCTCTCGAATGCTAAAAACGTTTTTTGATTTTGGACTCGTCAAGTCGGAAAAATAATGTAAAACATTTTCCTAGCGGGTTCTCCCAGAAGCTATCTTTGGTAGAATGAATGCGCCCTCCATAGCCCAACTCGAAATCCGTTCAAACTTTCGCAAAATGTTCTCCTATATACTAGATGCTTGCACAGTTAGCATAAAATTAGCATAAACACTCTTGGGTTGAGATATGATTTTTTCAAAAAACCCTAGATTTTCAGGTATTTTCCATTTATCTCGGCCCAGAAATGTTTTTATGCAATAAAAATGACATATTCGGAATCAGCGCAAAAAACTGCATCGAGTGATGTATATTTTCTTAATTTTTCTGCAGAAATATTTTCGATCAAACTGAATTATAAAGTTGAAAGCCTCGCCGCAGCAAGTTTTGCCTGGGAGTTTGGATATTTATTTTAGCAATAGTGTGAAAGTCTATAAACACATTTTTTATAGGTTTTCGAATATGCTCTTTCTAATGGTAGGGTTTCTGAAATGCAAAAATATTTTTTATGGGTTTTCCAGGGATCCGGTCCAGAACGAAAAATGATTTTTGGGATCTGAAAATCTCACCATTAGAAAGAGGATATTCTTTCTAATTTTTTTGCAGATGAATATTCTTCATAGTTGTGTTTAATTGGTTGCTAAAATCACCCCTTGAGCTATTGTTAATCTTGAGATATTAAGAAAATAGCGTTGCTCTTCTACTCATTTTTAGCTTGGACATGTCTGGCGGTAACAAATAAAATCGATTTGTTTTTCTATTAAAAATATCTTTATAGTTCATTAGAAGAGCAAGGAAATCGGCCACAGAATATGCTTTTTGATTTCACTAAGTCGCTCTTCTTTTGGTTAAACTGACTCAAACTATGCGTGGCCACAGATCTGGCTAAAAATGCCTGATAAACCGTTTTTTTGCAAAGAAAACAGTAATGAAATTCTACTAATCTTAACCTTTTTGGTGTTTAGGAGAAAAATGCATAAACTGTTCGAACGTCCCGTCACGTCTTCTGACAGGAAAATTATATCGACTGCAATTAGCGAAAAAGTTTCAAGTAAATTTTGAGTTTTTACAAAAAACTTGAGTCCAGGTTTTTTAAAAGGATCTGTAGGAAGATTCAGAGAGATGATTGTGTAAGATCTGATGAAAGCTTGAAATCTCTTACTAGAATCTTGCTGATTTTTCTTAGAAAATCATGTAAGATATCGCAAAATCTTGAACTATGATCTTACAAGATCGTTTAACATCATTCAGTTCGACCCCTTCGTCTGGAGATACGATGTTTAAATCACTTGTCTTCAGCCATTTTGTGAGGGTTGAGACACACTAAAAGATAATGTGTCGCAAAACACGACATATTCGGCGACACTGGATGCCAGCAGGGTACATTTTTCTATTGAGACTGCGGCATGTACGACACATTCTTTTAACCGTATAGAAAATAGCAGGAATTTAGTATTTTTCGTCGTTTATTGTATTTTTAAAACAATTACAGCTTGTTTCGGGCGTTCTACGAAATGTCGATGCAACAAATCTGTCTGTGATATCCGATGGGCTCAAAAGAGTTAAGCTATTAAGATATCATTTTGGGAACGTAACCAGGGGCCGGATTGGTTATAAAGACTAAGTTAAATTGCATGAACTTAGACAGTGGTCAAAAAGTACGAACAATTAAGTTCCATTTGCCTCCAAGGAAGGTCTCAAGTCTTAAAAAACCGCTAAATCAAAGAAATGAGTTACATTTTTCTTTTATTAGCGATATCTACCGCTGATTCAAGTTGAGGGATCCCAGATCTTCTGATTTTGACAGAAAAATTTTGATTTTTGGAATTTTTTCTGCTAATGTCTTCTGGTTTTCTGAAGTTAAATTTGTTTATTTGAGTTTTTTCTAATGTTGAACTTCTTTTTTCTATTTTTCATGTTTTGGATCTGGTAATCCTGTTCAAGATCAACAGATGGCAAAGAAATATCAAACGGTGAATGCTAAAGCACACTAAAATAGAGGCAGAAGCGGCGTGGTTTCCTTCCTAGGATATAACACTTGTGTTAAAACTACATCTTTAGAACCTTAGCAACTGCGACACTTCGACTGCAATACATTCGTTTGCAACACATTTTGCTCAGAGAGTCTGTGACACAAGCTACTGCGACATATAAATGCGATATATTATTTTTTACTGTGTGCTGTTTGATTTTTCGTGGTCATATCACTGACAGAAAAATAGAGTTCATTTAGAGTCACGGAAAAGTACTTTTTTATGTTTAGCACATTTAATAACCTCGCAAAATTTTTATGTCGATAGACATTTTAGATTTGTTCAGAGATTTTTTTTTTCTTGTTTAGTCATCGTTTTTGCAAAAAGTGAGTCGTATGATCTAGAGAACTACTATAGAACATTCTGAAAACGGGAGATAGTTCTCTGGGTACTGAACGTGGACCATTTCACGTTCTATTTTTAAACAACCGTCCAGATTCGACGAGATGAGTTCCACAAGTGGAAGAAAAATGCGTCGTGGACTTCGAACTTTTTAATTGTTATTAGTTGTCCGGCGCCATTTTTTTTTATTTGCAGACAGAATTGAGAAATAAATCTGTGTACATATCTTCTAACTAGTGAATTTCTGTTTTTACATACATGCATCTAATAAAAGGTATACTAAGTGATTACCAGTTCTTTAAAACATAGAAGACACACCGAAGAATTATTTTAAAAGTTTATTCACTGATTGTTGAAACGGTTTAGACCGATAATTACTCCGCTGAAACTGCTACAAGTCTCATTATAATGTTTACAGCTTCTTATTCTTTATCTCTTTGCCAAAAAGATGGTTTACTCTGGTGTTATATCATCTAAGCACATAGTCTAAAAAGTGTGCTGATTTTCTGACTGATTAATACTGTGAAAAGTTACTGTTTAAATATGTGCCATAGTTTTCAATAGTTGGAAGTGTCCACATTGTCTATCGACATCCTAACTTGTGCGTAGCACAACTGCATAGTTATTTTTTGTTTTTGGCGTAAAGTTATGTCAAAAGTTTAAGAAAAACTTTGAAACTAATATTATTTTCCCATGGAAATATATTTTAGTCATTTTGTTTGAAAAAAATTTTGGACAATATTTTCCGCTAAAAAATAAAAAATCTTCTGGATATACGAGTATACTGAATACGAAAAAGTACGTTTCCGTGACTCTGCATGAACTTTATTTTTTTCATCACGTTGATATGTTTTTGTTCTCTATACATCATATTATTTTATTAACAGCTGCTTAACAAACAAAAGATTATTGTTTTTGAGGTTCGGATAGACATATTTAAATTTAAGGACAGATAGAAAACAAATATCGGGCAATGCTTATTTATCCTGAATAACAATCAGTGGTCTTGAACTTAAGTAAGAAAAAGTGAAAACTTTTTTTTGTCAAACACTAGAAGAAAAAATATGAAGTGCTGATAGGTAACCAAAATAATACTTGAAACTCATAGCTTTTCTTTTAGTTAAACACATATACATATATCTTATCGTAAAGTACTTTGTCATACCATCAACATAACACAGAAAACAGTAGCAGAAGTTTTGTCAAGAAAAAAAAGTACTTGTTAAGAGCACAGGTTACTCTTTTTTCAAAGATAAATAAAGCGCGATCATATTGAGACAGGACTTTAGAAAAAAGGTTAAAAAGTCAATTAGTTGATAAATTTTGATGAAATCTTATTTCGGTAACGAGAAAATTGTAATGAATGTGAGATTGAAAAGAATCGTTGGAGAGACATCTTATTTTGAATAGGAGGGTCTATCCTGAAAGATTACAGTATTAAAACATCTTTGATGCCTTAAAATGATCTAGTTTCTTGAAAACTAAGAGGAAGATATGAAGATATAATGTTGACTTTGTTTTCAGAAGTTTTTGGATGATTTACACATATATGGTAAAATTCAGGATTTTAAATAACTTTATTATTTGACCTAGTTGTATCCGTCTGTATAGTACCACTTCTTTTTGTGAAAAAAAGACTTAAATGTGCCTAAAAGTCTTCAAAAATTTCAAGTATAATTATAACTAAGCATAATCAATCTATGTAACTGTATAGTGTACATTTTCAGTATTAAACAAAAACATCTTCGAAAAATCAGCTGATTTGATTTGAATCTGTAAAATAAAGAAAATTTTTAAAGTATTTTTCTTTTATTTTTCTGTTAGATTATATACATCAAAAATTATATAACTTTCTATTATCATTAGCAATAAGTATTTTTATAATAAATGAAGAAAAAATATTTTACTGTCTGATTCTTCTTGAAAAAAAAAAGTGAAAGTATATACAAATAGTCTATTATCATTGACCCTTTGATCTCTTTTCTTTTGCGTGTGTAAAAACACCCGGTGGAATTACGTATGTATACATTAATATTTCCCTTATGTACAGTAAAGAAACTAAATAGAAAGTAATATCATTAAAAGTGTTATACATTCTTCTAGTTGACTCTTTTTTTTTTGCTTTTTTACTCGTACTTTCAATTGTTCAGCTAATCTTTTTCTTTATGTTGTCAATTGACTGTATTCAAAATACTAATAGATCTTTGTCTATAGTCAAGGAAATTCGTACCTCCACGGTCTATTCCTCTACAATTCGTATTCTAACATTTTATAATCAATCCATATATCCTTGCTTCTCTTAGTAACTAATTTCAAACTATACTATAACAACAATTCGATTTTCTATTAATTAAGTTGTCAAAGTTTACTTCAAGCAAACTTATTGTTTTCCACTAAACGTATTGCTTAACAACATTCTTTTTCGGCAAGTTTAGAAGAAAAGCGATTAAAGCAGTATGATTAGAGAAAAAATTTATGTCATTGACATAAAAAATACGATAGAATTCTGTCTGATGGTACAATTTGTGTCATCATATAGGTAAATTTTGATTAATGTCTAATCGTTCTATAGATAAGTTCCATCTAGTTATAGTTGAGGTTTTATTTTTAATATTGTCAAATGACTTCTTACAAACCAGAGATTAATCGATTTTTCAGATAAAATAGTCAAATGTTGAAAATTGATGATATTTTTAATTTTTTTGAAAGTTATGATATTAGTTAGTAAAAGAACCTAAGACTAAACTTAAAAGTAAGAAATATTGGAAAAACAAAAAATAAAAAGATAAACTATAAATTACGATCGACATAATTCACTCTGTATATTTTTTCAAAATATATGCTTACAAGCTTCGATTATTAACTTTTCTCTTCTTTCATCCATACACCTATTTTATGTTGAATGTTAATATTTACTGTAATAAAATTTAAACACCTTCTTAACAGGTACTAAAAGAACTTAATTATATGATGCAGTTATAGTTAGAAGAGAAAAATATAGTGAACTGCATGAGCGCGCATACTCTCCTTTTCTTTCAATTTGTTTTCGTCCTCGACTAAATTAATAAATCAAGTGAAAAAACAAGTACAACTGTATTACCACACTTTTATGGTTTATAATTTTAAAATTAACATAGACCACATGCTGGCATACTGATTTATAATGTCAATATAATCAACAAAAAAATAAGGCTAAAATTTCAAGCTCACTAATTTTCGTCAATAGTCATGCTGGTTTGCTTTCGTGCACAAGAAAATATTTTTTATCAATCAATTATGGATTTTGTATGTGTATTTCAGACTATCCTGAGTTATAAAAAAAAACTCTTAATTGATATTACTTTTAATATATAGACTTCAGAACATTATAAAAATAGATAAGGTTCAAAATATTTTCTTCTCCTCTCCTCATCGAAGTTTCATCGAAGTGTTCGAGCAAAATAAAAGTCTATTTTATTCTAACCACAAATAAATGAACAAATACATCAATAAAAAAACAGAAATAATCTAAAAGGTACCGAAAAATTGTTTTCTCTGTTAGTTCTTCGATGTAAAACTGATTAGATCATGAGAATCTATTCTCATCTTGTATATATGATTTTTAATAAATTGTTAATCCCGAATATCATTTCAACGTTGAGAAAAAAAATAAAGCTCATTTAGAGTCGTGGAAAAGTGCTTTATCGTATTCACCACACTCAATAGCCTTGAAAATTTCGTATTTTTGGCGAAAGATTATGTCAAAAGTTTAGAAAAAATTTTCAAATAAAATGACAAAAAAAGTAATTTTCATGGGAAAATTAGTTTCAAGACTATTGAACATGATAAAGTACTTTTCCATGACTCTAAATGAACTCTATTTTTCTATCAGTGATATTATGTGGAGTTTGAGTCTCGCAAGCTTATCATCTACGCTTTAATCTACTTATTCAGAAATCTGTTATTTGTTGTCAAGTTGCTTTTACTGTACAGTGAATCTTGTGGAATTCATCTGTCTATCTATCATCATTT